CCTCATATCATAGGTTGATCTTACTGTGGCAGAGCCCAGATATTTAGAGTGTTAATTGTTGTCTTAGCGGAATTACTAATTTCTCTGGGCTCAGGTTCCTCATCTACAAAATGAGGGTGGTAAAACTACCTTTGTAGGATTGAGCTAATGCTGGGTAGAGTAGTACTTGACAAGTGCAGCCCAGTTCCCTGCTTGCTTGGCCCTGAGTACCTGCTCCTCAGGATTGGTGATGCTTGCTTGGTGACATGCCTCTTTAAGCAGTTTACTCCACTGATTAAAGGCAGCTCAGTCTCCCATTAAACAGACTCACTCGAGTTGAGACTCATAAGGAAAAATGTCTTCTATATTTATAACCTCCCTCATCTATGCATAGTAGGAATTTAGTCTTGGATATTCAAGATGCAGAAGCAACTCCTTTTATGGATGGGGAAATCAAGGCACAGAGAAAGCTACTTCATACCCAACTCCCTGACAAAGATGGGAGTAGAATCAAATCATGTTTTAACTGGGCTTCTACAGGCTGATTTTGTCTAGTCTTCATTTCTTTTGTTCATTTTTGTTGCTTTCTGAGGGGAAGCAATTGAGCTAAAACCCTAGTTCACTATTTTGAACTTCAGCCCACACCCCTCTAGCAAAACAATCAGCATTTATGTAGCTTAAGCCAAGGAAAGGGAGATCTTTGTTCAAATCATCCTGATGTAGTTTAGTAATCCAGACAGCATAACCCAGCAAGCAGGCTTTTAAGTTCATAGATTTTATTTAATGATACCATGAGTCTGTATATGCAGGGTTGTTTTTGTTTTTGTTTTGTCCCATCTCCCTGGGATCTGCAAAACTCAGCATGCCTGAGGCCAGGGACACAGGCTCTTCTCTGTGGAAGGGGATGTTTCTCAGTAAGACTTGTTAATAGAGCATAAGAGGCTGAGGATTTGAGGACAAACCATGTTTGCCCAGGCAGACTCTTCAGTGGGCAACACTCCTGTAGGGTGAACCTAGTTGAAGTGAATGTACTAGAATGCCCCTGCCCAGCTGAGCAAGGTCCCTTTCACTGCTATTTGTTTGTTCTCACTGCTCAAAATGCTGGGGTAATAATCTCTAAAAGTTTCCTGGAGAACCAAGTTTCTGAACCAAGTGAGAAAGTAATTTGGAGATTTTTTTGTTGACACTTTCCATTTTTGTTTGGTTTGGTTTTGGGTCCGGTTGTGGGGCCTGGACTCTGGTCCTGGGCTCTGTCCCTCAGCTCTTCAGCTCAAGGCTAGCACTCTACCACTTGAGCCACAGCGCCACTTCCGGCTTTTTTTCTTTTTGCTTATGTGGTGCTGAGGAATCGAACCCAGGGCCTCATGCATGCAAGGCAAGCGCTCTACCACTGAGCCACTTTCTCAATCCCACTTTTCGGTTTTTGATACAAACAAGGTAACTTATAGTTTTATTTTTTTCCAAGTCATACTCCTACTTGGAGGACCTGATAGAGCATAGATAGAACAAAATCCACAGATCTTGTTACTTGGATGAGTGGGTAGTTGTATGTGTTCTTTGAAAGAGTGAGATCAGGATTGCTAGGTAATAGTTGAATCTGGGAGCTGTTTCTGTTGGATGTGGGGGTGGGGTCCTAAGGAAGACATGCTCCATGGTTTGTTTGTTTGTTTGCCGGCCATGGGACCTGAACTCTGGGCCTGGGTGCTGTCCCTGTGCTCTTCAGCTCAAGGCTAGTGCTTTACCACTTGAGCCACAGCACCACTTCCAGCTTTTTCTGCTTATGTGGTGCTGAGGAATCAAACCAAGGGCCTCATGCATGCAAGGCAAGCACTCTACCACTGAGCCATCTTCCCAGGCCCAACATGATCCGTGTTTGTAGAGACAAAACAGTCACCTCCCAGGACAAATTTAAGGTGTTCTTTCTTCTCCCTGCCCCATTCTACTGTCTTCCAGGAGACTGATGTGGTGACCATGGTCAGTGTTTCTTCCAGTGAAGTATGTCACAGCCAGCTCCCAAGGCAGTAGTGATGCCTGTTCTTTACTCACACTTTCAGGGCAGTCTTTTTTTTTTTTTGCTTCCAGACTATTGACTGGGAGAGTACTCCCAGTCTGCTATCATTCCAGAGCTAATGTGGAGAGTAGATGGGGGTTAGGCTGGGGAGAGAGCATCTAAAAATTAACATTCAAAAATATAAAGTACAGCTGGGCACCTGTGGCTCACACCTGTAATCCTAGCTACTCAGGAGGCTGAGATCTGAGGATCACGGTACAAAGCCAGCCTGGGCAGGAAAGTCTGTAAGACTCTTATCTCCAATTAGCCACTAGAAAACTGAAAATGGCGCTGTGGCTCGAGTGATAGAACACTCGTCTTGAGCTGAAGAGCTCAAGGGACTCTGCCTGGGCCCAGAGTTCAAGCCCCACCAAAAAAAAAAAATTATATATATATACACATATATATATATAAAGAGAGAGAGAGAGAGTATAAAATGTTAAACTACCTTTGTTCGAATTTGCTGGGCCAGTCACAAGTCTACAGTTTTTGTCCCACAGAGAAGTCATGAGGTGTCTATTAGTAAAAATGATGTAGTTTTTGGAATGATGTGGATGATTATAAGAAAATGTTTATCTTGTAAGGTTTTAAAAATCAAAATGTAATTCATGAACATGATCACAGTTATATAAAAACAAAACTAACCCACCCACCCCCAGACCCAAAGCAAGAATATTTAAAAAAAAGAAAGACTGGAAGTAAATAAAGTATTAAAAATGGATTTGTTTTGGCTAGCAGGATGTTGGGTGTCATTTTCTTTTCTGCTTTTCTTGTAGTTTCCATATATTCTATAATAAGCATGTACTATTTCTCAAAGATTCTATTATTCTAGAATGATAATAATCAATATTAGTATCTATTAGTGAAAATAATTTGTACTTGATAAAATCCCAGGCAAACCTTTTGGGCTCTTGAACATCATGTCCTGTCAGCTGAGAGACACAGGCATCCTAAGTGAGGAACCCAAGAGCTCTTCTCCCTTTCCTCTTCCCCTCAGAAAATCTGAAATGGTCAAGACCAGGTTCCTGTTTTGGATGTTGTTCTTCCTGAAGGTAGCTGTTACATAGGACAACCTCTCAGACCCCCTTCTCAACCCTCAGCAGCAATTATCTCTTGCTGTGCAGAGCGCCTGCCAACAGGGAGAGGCTGAGCATGATTAATTCACCCTCTAAGTGGGGAGCAGTAACAAAAGTCTGGCTGGGATGGAGGTCGGGGGCGGGGAATGTGGAGTGAGTTGCTTGGGCTGATAAGAAGCCAGTGAGCTTTCTGCCTGGTGGTACACGCACCTCCAGCTGCCAGGCATCCCACTGGGCCAACCCCTTGGAAAGATAGTGCCGCTACAGCGGTCCTGCTACTGGCACCACCCAGGGAGCATAGTGGACACACAGCTTTTGCAGAGAGCGTCCCTCCTGGCACAGGGTCACAGTTCTGGCTCAGGGCATGTGATGGATTACTATCTTTTGAGCAACAGTGGTCTTTGAAGGGCGCATCTACTGTGGAGATTAGAATTCTCCCTTTTGTACCCCTCTGAAAGTGAGTCTGGTGAAGGACGACTCAAGTGCTTTTTCCTCATCTGCACCCAGCCTGGATTCTTCAGCTGTCTCCTCAGAGTCCTGGCCCAGTCTGCCAAAACAGATTGTCTCCACTCTTCAGGCAGAGAACCTCTTTTTTTTTTTTTTTCCAAATTTATTTTTTACTCTATTCTACCTGTTTCTAACTGCATGGATCCTGTTACCCATTGGAATAGTGGACAAAACCCAGCCACAGAATGCTGAGAAAAGAAGCTTGCTGGTTCTGGAGTTGGCAAGGTCTTGCAACCAGGCATCGATCTGTTTAAGGATAATATTGTGTTTGTGGATAATATTTTTAATTTTAATGTGTTTAAGGATAATATTTCTTACTGTTGCTTTGAAAGACTGGCAGATGCAAGCGCTCTGGGGAGGCAGGTGAGAAGGACCATCTTCAATGTCTCTGTAGTGTAATACCAAAATGTTCCCAGACTGCCGGTTTCCTGGCACAGCTTCTTTTTTTTTCCTTTTTTTGGGGGGGGGAGGGGACCAGTCATGGGGCCTGAACTCTGGGCCTGGGCGCTGTCCCTCAGCTCTTCAGCTCAAGGCTAGCACTCTACCACTTGAGCCACAGCACCACCTCTGGCTTTTTTCTTTTTGCTTATGTGGTGCAGAGCAATCGAACCCAGGGCCTCATGCATGCAAGGCAAGCGCTCTACCGCTGAGCTACCTTCCCAGCCCCTGGGACAGTTTCTTAATCAGAAGCTTTGTCACTGGGATGTTTGTTTGGTGGGGAAGCCCCAGGGCTACTTACTGGAGACTGAAGCATACTTCATTTCTTCCCGCTCTCCAGGCATGGAATAAGGGGTTAATATCACCAATGGCTCTATTTTGGGGCAAATGGAGTGCTCCCAGAATAGGACTCTTTGTTGAGTAGTCTATTTTGGGAGGCAAGCCCCACTGGCGTTTATGTAAGCATTCTCTGTGTGTATCTGGGGGTGTGGATGTGTGCGCAAGTAGTTTCTTGTTACTAATTATAAGCATCTTCTTTTGGGAGTTAGGAGAATGGAGGTGTATGTGAGTAAGCTTATGGATTTCTCTTTCCTGCTGTGAAGAGAGGCTTGCACCTATTGATGGTACAGTCATCACAGACATTTGCATAGGAGAGTGAGTGTGGATATCTTAGGACAACAGGCAGGGGAGAGGATTTCAATCCTTTAAGGAGTGTCTGGTAATGGAGTTGTGCCCATCGGTCATCCTCTTGGTTCCCTGAAGCACCTAGGCAGGCTGCACATCATAACCTTATGGCTGTAGGCTAGAGCCAGGTAATCTCCAAAAGGTAAACTCTGGGTTCCTCTAACTAAGGCCAGGTAACCAGTGCTAACCTGGAGCCAATCTCAGAGAGAAGTTTCCCATCAGCAGCTTGGCACCTACTCACTGGACTCCCCCATGTGTCTGGACAGGCCAAACTCACATATGTCGAAGCAGGAGAGAAACCAAAGACCGTCCAGCATGGTCAGTGAAACATCCACAGCTGGGACCACATCCACCCTGGAGGCCAAGCCTGGACCCAAGGTGAGCTCTTGGCCACTGGTTCTTCCTTTTCCTCTTGTAAAACTGACCAAGGCCCTTTCATTGTAACATAAGCCCATTTGATCATCACTAGAATTTTAGAAGGGGACCCAAAACATAGTGCTCTCCATAAATGACAGTCAGAAAATGGAGGTCAAGATGAGTTGTGGTCCTTGTCCAAGGCAACAGGAAATTGCTGATAGACCAAGGCTGAGGAATGAATGCACTCTTAACTTAATGTTTATTGAAAAGGCCACACCTCTGTTCTCATGTATTAGAAAGAACTTGGCTATCTTTGGTGACAGATGGGCCCGAGGAAGAGTGCCCTTGGGAAGAGTCCAAAAGCTGATGTGTTTTACCTGTGGGAACACTAAGGAGCAGAGGAAAAGAACCTACATTGTGAACTCACAAAGGAGGAGTACATATTGGGAAGCTGACAAAATCTAGGGCTAGAAAGTAGCTTTGCTCCAGGAAGCCATAGGGTGTACTAGAGCAAACAGCTGCCTTTGAAAGTCGATTGAAAAATCCCTTTAATTTTTTCTCTGTGATATAACTGGGAGGCTTGCCAGGTCTTGGGCTCTCTTTTTAATTAGAATTCCATGGCCGTATGCATGCCTATTCCCTGTCTTGTTGCTATTCTGATCAAACGGTATTGCCACTTAGAATGAGGCAGAGAGAGCCAGCAACCCTCCTAACACACAAGTGTTTTTCTGTGCCCCCTCCCAATCCCTTGCTGCTAGAATTTAAGACTGCCTTTTCCTAGATCATCAAGTCCAGCAATAAAGTCCACAGCTTTGGGAAGAGGGACCAGGCCATTCGGAGGAACCTCAATGTTCCAGTGGTGGTAAGGGGCTGGCTGCACAAGCAGGTGAGGAGACTGAGAAGGGAGAGAGGTGGAGGACCGGCTCTTGCTGGTTTCTTTCCATCTCTGATCCTAGGATGCTAGAAACAGGTACAGAAAATTTCTGTTCCTGACTTTGGAGTAGGTAGATTCTTCCTACCATGCTGCACAATCTTTTGTTTGTTTTTGTGAGTTGACAGTCTGTTCAGAAGTTAGAGCTTTTCTCCCAAAACCTACTTGACCTCTTTGACCCTAGGTACTACTGGTGGCCCAGGCCATAGTGTGAACAGATCAGTCTAAATCATCCAGCCTCATCACTCATTCTCTGTCCGCATCTGCTTGCCTGATATTAATGTTTTTGTTATCATCTGGCTGAAAATTCCTCTTTCTCTTGTATGGCACACATATGTTAACACCTCAAATTTCAAATCAGTTCATTGTCTTCTCATGCCTTAACATCTTCCTTTGTCCTATTCTATTCTGCTTTTTCTGAATCTTAGTGATATGGTTCCAACACTATCTCCCAGTCATTCAGGTCAGAGATCTCAGAACCATTTCTGTTCCTTCTTCTCCTACCTCCATTCAATCAGAAAGCCCTGGCAGCTTTTACCTCCCTGGGCCTTTCTATCTCCATCTCTACCCCCACCCTGTTTGATCAGTGTCTGGACCTCTGGCCCTGGTGAGGTTGTGAGCTCCCAGAGCCAGACCATGTCTGTTTTGTTCTCTTTCTCTATCCTTGCCATTCATTCATTCATTGGCTTCCCATGGCCTGCTATTTTTTCTAAGTGCTCTCACAGTAAGAAGAGTTAACATGTGATTTCTGCTCTTGAGCTCATTATCTGCCAAGGGAAACAGAAAGAGCATCCCCCATATCACTATGGTCACCTAGCCCCGTCTATTACCTATCATAGCATTACCAAAAAGTCACCAGCAAACTCTAAGAACAATGATGTCCACTTTTGGGATGACATTGTGGGAAGACAGACAAGGGCATTACGTTGCCTGCCACATGGGAGGAATCATAAAAAGTCCCACTGACATCTCTCCCTAGTACTCTCTCCATGGGAACTCCCATAACACTCAGCCTAGTCTATTCCAGATAAGCCTGTGGCTCTACCTTCTCATTCTTTCCCTTCACAGCTCTAGTTTCCTCTCTCTCTCTCTCTCCCTCTCTCTCTCTCTCTCTACACACACACACACACACACACACACACACACACACACACACACACACACACACACACACACACACACACACACACACACACACACACACACACACACACACACACACACACACACACACACACACACACACACACACACACACACACACACACACACACACACACACACACACACACACCCTTTTCTTTATCTGAGCAGATTAACTCGACTTTTTCCACGTGAAACAAAGACTGCTCCTTAGAAATGTAGCAGGAGAGAGAAGTCATTGTAAATAATTCTCCTCTCCACCTCCCACACCTTTGCCAGCTCATTGGCAGTGCAATAGCCACAATGGGTCTTTGTAGAACACCATGAACACACAGCAAAGTCTAGCTGTGCTTGAAGAGTCCAGAAAGGCTTTCCAAAGGAAGTAAGGTTTGAACCAGGTATGGAAGCATGAGTTAAGGTTCTCCTATTTATAGAGGTAATATGTGCCATGTGACAAGATCTTAGAAATCAACTGATCAATTTACAGGAGATAAAACTGGTATTTGGATGGCATCAAGTTAAATTTGATTTGACTTTAGTAGTTTATTCTTTGTTGAAGATGAAGAACGTATTCATGTTGTTTAGGAACTGTTACATTCTTTTGTTTGTGTTTTAATTCAAGCCTGTGAAAAACTTCTACATAACAAAGAGAAATTTTAAGAGCCATCTGTACGCTAAAAGCAACTCTGAGGTTTTTGTAGGTTTCAGAGAAAGCTAACAGATTAACATTGCTATTTTCCTACTGTGGTCATGTTTTTTTTGAATATTCACAAGTGTATAAGATATTCTTAATAAATGTAACTTTTTATATTTCAGGTAAATAAAGGCAGACTCATTTTATGAGCAAATTTGATAACAAATCTAAGTCTTTTTACATTGCATAGAAAGAAAACAACAAAATCAGTCCCTTGTGGAAAAGAACTGAGCTTCAATAAATGAGAACTTTGCCTCAGTTAATTAGCTAACTTCAGCTCCATTCAATACTATGTAAATTCAGTTTTCTAATCAATATAAATGCAGCTATTTAACAGGATAGTACCTTAAGTCAAACAAAAAAAAAAACACCCTTTTTTTTGTTGATTTCTGTAGTTTTTGGATTCATATTTTTTCCTTTCTAAAAGAAAATAGATTATAATAATTTGTTTCTAGGAGACCAGAAAACTCTTATTTCTTGTGATGAAACATCGTTGAAGCTAAGTTTAATTCCTTATTCAAAGAATAGCTATTCAATAAAACATTCATAAGTTTATTGGAAAAGAAAAGAGTCAATATGGATCTTAGTTCCAGAATCAGATATGCTTGATTGGAAGGGAGCGCTGTGCTCATACTGTGACTGATTTGCTTTGTTTTGCAGGACAGTTCTGGAATGAGGCTGTGGAAAAGAAGGTGGTTTGTGCTTGCTGATTACTGCTTGTTTTACTATAAAGGTGAGCTTGAGTCTCAAGCTACCAAGATCTCATATGCTAAAGAGGATGATAATGGTGGATCTCTCATATCCAGTTGTTGGACCAGTGGCCTAATCTAATTAGTACTTTAATATCCTGCCAGAGTGTTTGCTTGTATGTATACATGGGAGTGGTTGGTGACTTCAGTTTTATCAGTGCTGGCTTGGAAATTCAATTAACACTATGTACATATGATCATATAAAATGATGTTTGTTGAAATGAACTCCAAGACATGGAAACGAGTTTTTTTTTATTTTACTTTTTGTGATTTTTGTTTTGTTTTTTGTATTTCCCCTTTTGTCGCTGTTTTTGAGTTCTTTTTGTCTTGTATGTGAGTTTATCTGTTTGGGGGAGGCACAGAAATAGTGTGACAAGGGGTGAACTAATTCTGCAGTGATACCCACTAGACACTATGTTGAAAATGAGCTCTACAAGTTAGGAGGGGGGCTTGAGAGGGAAAAATTGGGAGAAAATGAGGGAAGAAGTGACACTGTTCAAAAAGAAATGTACTCATTACCTGACTTATGTAACTGTAAACCCTCTGTACATTACCTTTACAATAAAAATTTTTTTAAAAAGAAATTCAATTTAACACAATCCAGTTTGCTTACTACTTAGAGTCTCAAGACCCAGAGTTATCTTAGCTCCTTCCCAGATTGGGATATGTTTACCTTGAAAGTATTCTGCAGAGCCAAGAAGTGTGGGTAAAAGGTTGTAGTTGGTAACCTGTCACCAAAGTTTGTCATTTGTGATACTGGATAGACAACTAGTGAATTAAATTGTCCATTTGAGCTTTTATGGAGCACTACATAAAGCTAGGGACTAGACAGTGCTTAGAAGGAAGTCTCAAAATACAGAGGGAAAGAAAGACAGACAAGACTGATTATGATCTGTGCTTTAGAGGACACTCCAAGTCCTTAAGCACTTCAGGGAATGACAAGTGAATTTCCTGCCAGAGAATCTGAGAAAACCTCTTAGAAAATATGGATTGTGGGGGGAAAAACAAAGAAGAAGAAGACATGGGTTGGAGTTGGGCTTTTAAGGATCGGTAGACCTTTGCCTATGTGTCATAGGCATTACAAAGAGATTACACTTTGAGTAAAGCTCTAGAAGCAGAAGCAAGTCAGGTGACAGATGGACTTATATAGCCAAATGAGTCTTGCATGTGGGATATTCTAGGAGACAAAGATCAGGGGGTGGGTAAGGGTGGCCACCAGTAAGCAAGGGGATGAATTGGGACTTCATTTTTTATCCAATGGTGAATTGAGTGCTTTTGAGTTGGATGTCAATGGGGGAAAACTCTGTCATTAGAAAGTAAGAGACAATTGGTTGTGGAGATGGTTTGAAAAAGGGGAGAGTAGAAGATAGAACTTTTTTATATCCTCAGAACTTTGCTTGAGAGGTTTGTTCTTCTTAGAATGCCTTTCCTAATCCCTAAAAATGCTTAAAACCTTGATTTCTCCAGACTGTATGCCAATCATCTCTGTCCCCACAGCATTTATCAGCCCCTTTTTAAAATTAGCAGGCTGAGTTGAGTATATTTGCATGGCTCTTTCTGCTCTTCAGGAGAGTGCCTTGGTTGGTTCACTTGTGTGTTTCTAGCATTAACACATAGATACTCTATGGAGAGGAGTTGGTATGGGCCTGGGAAAACAGGGGTCCTGGGTAGGTCACTCAGAAGTTTGTTCTGATGTGTATTTCCATTCAAAGACAGCCGAGAAGAAGCGGTCCTTGGGAGCATCCCTCTGCCCAGCTACGTGATCTCACCTGTGGCCCCTGAGGATCGTATCAGTCGCAAGTACTCCTTTAAGGTACTTCTCCTTCTCTTGTGTAGTAATTCATTTTAGGAAACTGTTCTCAGAAGTGTGCAATGATTCACGCTTGTAATCCCAGCTACATGAGAGTCAGAGATGGGAGGTTTGAGATTGTGTTCTTCTGATCTAGTCAGTTGTGTTCTTCTGATCTAGTCAGTTCTGGAAAAACCCACACAGACCCACTCAGAGATGTGCTTTCCATCAATGCCTTAGGGACTTCTCTATCTAACCAAATTGACAAGCAAGATTGAAAAATCATACGTTGTATTGCTAAAACCAACTTCTTTCACACCTGTTATTTAGTGCTTCTAGAAAGTTTCTGAGGTCAGCAGTTCTAATTTCATTTTATGAATTAGGGGTGAGAGGATCTGTGATTTTAAGAAACTTGTCTAAAATTACAAGCTGGTAGATGGTGGGGGGCAGAACTTGGCCCTGAATTCTATCCTCTTTCAATTATGTTATAGGAAAGGAGACAGTTTCTTTGCCTTTGTTTGCCTTTTCTTCCATGCCTTATCTTGGTTACTTCCTACACATTGCAAGAGACAGCAGGAGGTAGCTTGAATGGACATTTATTGTATCATTAGGAGCTCAGTCTCTTCTGTAGTTCAGGATCCTTTCTGAAATCATTTTCTTCAGTGATTTTCAGACTTTTCTATCTGGATTGAATATCACTATTGGACAAGTACTTGGGAGCCAATATTACATGTGTTCTTGGGGAGAGCAGTATTTGGAATATCATCACAGTAACTTAAAACTATTTATATATTTCATCTTAACACTTCATTGGGAGGTGTGAAAATAGATTCCAAGAAAACATCTTTTATGTGTCCTAGGTTCTCTCCTCTCCCTGAGCTACCCTCACTCCTTCTGCCTCCCCCCGCCCCTCCTACTCCTTCTCCCTCCCTACCCCCTTCCCACTGTACCCACACATGCACAAAAAAATACTTCAAGTAAATCTTGTCTGGAAAACAGAAGGCATCTTCAGCATCTGAGAGAAGAGAAAGCTACTTCAGGCAGATCTGATTTTATAAAATGACACTGGTGTTCCGAGTCTGAAAGAGAAATTGTCCCCTTTGGGTTACAGCGTTATTCTTCTTAGAGGGCAGAGGACAATTTTCTTGTGTTCTTGTGCATGGTGTTTACTGTCCTGGGCCTCATACCTGCCTCACGTGTCGGTTCTTTCTGTTCAGAGCTCATATTCACCCACTGTTGCAGGGATCCTTTGCCTAAGATTGTTCAGAATTCCCTGTTAGGCACAACCCAAAAGCTTCTATGTCATTCTTTCCCAATGGCTCTTTCTGTCATTCTTTCCCAATGGCTGTTACCAAGGAGACCAGTTGCTAGGTGGACCCAGAGCCTTGGCGAGGACTACAGGATCAGCTATGCAGGGCTCATGGTGTCCTCTAGAGCAGTTCTGTCCTGATGGGCAGGGCATTCATGTCCTGCTGGCTAACCTGGAGAGTCTTCCCATACAGCATCTTAAATACACAGTCTTTTTACCCTGTAGTTCATCTCTAAGTACTCGGATCCAAGATGTGGAGCAGGAAGTATCCTTACACAGCTGCAGTCTAAGGATCTTCAGTAGAAAAGTCTTTACTGCTTCCACATCATTACTTTTTCTTTGTCAAGATCCAGGGTTCACTGTTGCCTTTAGACTATAAATGTCTGTGGATGAGGTACATCTTGTTTTTGTAGCACCTAAGTGAGTAAGAAAGTGATTAGGAAAGCAGGCGCCACAGTTATCTGCATTGTGATGGCTTGGTCACCAGTAAACATCATAGATAACTTCATATCATGGCACAATTTTTGACAATATTTCAAAATGTCATTTATGTTCACTGACACATTAATTCTGTAATAATTATTACATCTGCCACTTGATGTGTCTTTCAGCACATAATTTAAAAAGCATCTATATACTACATCACACACTGAAATGATTCAGATAACCATATTTCGGTATAATGTATTTATTTTGTCTGCTTAAAAACATTCTGAGTCGGACAATGGTGGCTCACGCCTATAATCCTGGCATCTCAGGAGGCTGAGATCTGAGGATTGCAGTTTGAAGCCAGCCTGAGCAGAAAAGTGTGTGAAACTCTGGACTCCAATGAACTACAAAAAAGCCAGAAGTAGAGCTGTGGTAGAGCCCTAGCCTTGATCAAAAAGGTGGACAGTGTCAGGCCCCGAGTTCAAGCCCAGGACTGGGACTGATGCACACACCCCTCCCCGCCAAACACACGCATATTGAGAGGTGTTTGTAGGATTCACTAAACTATCAAAAATGTCCATGCCACAAAACAGAGTAAGAGCCCCTGCTGAAGGCATGCCAGGAGACAAACCTTCTACTCATTTGGTGCTTTAATTAACTCCTGTGTTTTGTAGTTTGGTGGTTAATGGGTGCAGAAGATACGACAGTGAAAGGGAGGGAAAAAAAAAACGCTTGTCTTCATGGGGCTTATATTCTCAAGTTTGCCTCAGCATGTAGAATGTTAGGAGATAAGCAGACATCAGGAAAAGTTACCTTTCTTGTCTCACTTTCATTCTGTTCTCATCTCTCTCAAATCCATTTCTTCCTCTACATTGTCACTAGCCTATTTTGGTTGCCATCTTCTCTTTCCTACAAAACTTACTGCTAGAACAGTGGCTAGCATATAGTAAGCACGCCATAAGTGCTGATGGTGACTACTTCAACTTTTCTTCTCCCTCCCTCCCTCCCTCCCTCCCTTCCTTCCTTCCTTTTTTTTTTTTTTTTTTGCCAATACTGAGGCTTGAACTCGGTGCCTAGGCGCTATCCCTTGATCTCCTTTTGTTCAAGGCTAGCACTCTACACTTGAGCCACAGTTCCACTTCCAGCCTTTTCTGTGATTTAATTGGAGATAAGAGTCTCAGACTTTCCTGCCCAGACTGGCTTTGAACCACAATCCTCAGATCTTAGCCTCCTGAGTAGCTAGGATTACGGGCATGAGCCACTGGCACCCAGCTGACTGCTTCAACTTTCTAACTCCAGTCCATCCTTCACACAGTTCCTAACTTGCACTTCGTACAGATTGTATTCCTACCAAAACTCTTCAGTGGCTCTCCCTCTGCCTTCAGGATTAAGTCCAATCTTGGTTCACAAAACCCTAGCCCGTCTGCCTAGCTACATCTTTGGTCACGTCTTACACCTTCTAGTCATACATAGTGGCTGAAATCCCCAGAACATTTCTTGCACATAGACTTGTTTTGCTCTGCTTTACTTTGTTTTTAACATGCTTGGGATTGAACCAAGAATCTCACACTCTCTGCCACTGAGCCACATCCCTTGTCCCACTCATAGGCCTTTGAGCTTCAGCCTTAACCTGGAATGTTACTTATGCTGTGGTTCTCTATTTAGGGTTACCTCCTCCAGAAGCTTTCCTTGGGCCCTCTGAGCAATTTAGATACCCTTCTGCATTTCCACAACTGTTTTTCACTAAAGTAGAAACATTTGATTTACATGAGTAGTCACCAGGAAAACTAGCCTATTGCTATCTGGATAGCTGTGGCTAATCTCACTCTGAGACATGGGTCCAACACCTTGTAATGGAAGTTAGGGTCAATAACAGTGATTATACTTTCCCAGATAGGGTGGCCTCAGACTTGCTTATATATATATATATATAAATATTTATAATTTTTAAATTTTTTATTGTAAAGATACTATACAGAGGGTTACAGTTACATGAGCAAGGTAATGAATACACTTCCTATTGAGCATTGTTACCCCCTTTGACTTGCTTATATTTTATATAAAGTCCACTTAAATTAGTGATGGGAAGGAGAAAAGTCTAAAAGTTTCCAGAAAGGCTAGGTACTGGTGGCTCAGTATAATGGCCAAACAAGAGCATAAGGCCTCAAGTTCAAGCTCATGTATGAGCGTGCGTGCACGTGCGCGCGCACACACACACGCACGCACGCACGCACGCACGCACGCACACCAATTTCCAGAAACATACGCACACACACCAGTTTCCAGAAAGCTCATTCATTTATCCCCTCCTTAGGTTTCTGAAGTGACTGTTTCTGTCCTAACTTCAAATAACATCTTGTGAACATAATGAACAGGCTGTGCACTAAGCACCCTGTGTGTGATTTATGTAGCCCTTCAGGGTAGAGACTCCTGTTACCCATGGTCTCATTTTAAAGAAATGTCTTCACAAGGAAGTGAAGACATTTGTCCAGGCTTACCTTGATAGAAAGTAAGGAGCATAGCCCATTTTGGACATTAAGCTTCCTCTAGCAGCCTGAATTCCTACTCTGTTCTCTGGGCTGATCATAGTCATCCAAAGGTTGAAGATGAGAAGTTCTTTTGCTTACTCTCAATGAATGGACACCACTCATGAGCCTGAGACCACCCCTTCCCCCCCAAAAAAATAAACAAAATAACCTTTATGTTATCTGGGCCTTGGCATCTTCCTCAGGCTCAGGGCACTTAGAATTGGGTCAGATGAGAAGGAAGCTTATGTTCTTTTTGCCTTTATAGTGCATACAATAGACACTCAGGAAATCTTCCTATACCATCTTCCAGTGAAGATTGGGTTCTGATTTTTACTTACAAAGTATAAGACAAGACCCTGCTTATCAGAGAAGAGGGGGGTATGTGGTGTTGCCTGTGGTTTGCAGAGCATCTCATGTGCTTTCTAGTATCTCTTTCCAGATTTGTTTCAAGGAGACACACAAAAGCACAAGCACATAGTAGGTGCACTCATATTTTTAATTCAGGCTTGGTCAACTTTGTAGTGTCTTTTGAAGAGACAAAAACAGCAGTTTCTTTTGGCACACACTGCATTTTATCCCAAGCAGTTGAAGCACAGCAAACCAAGTCATCATGAGCACCAAGCTACATGCTGTAATAGCTCATTTGGATTTAATCCCTGTCTAGTTGTTAGCCAGAAGTATGTGTTTCAGATGAACCCAGATAAGGATTCTTGAGTCTGCTTCTGTAGAATAAGGATTTTTTTTTTTAAAGACTACTTCTGGGTCTGGGAAGGTGGCTTAGTGGTAGAGTGCTTGCCTAGTATGCAGGAAGCCCTGGGTTCGATTCCTTAGTACCACATAAACAGAAAAGGCCAGAAGTGGCACTGTGGCTCAAGTGGTAGAGTGCTAGCCTTGAGCAAAAGAAGCTCAGGGACATTGCCCAGACCTTGAGTTCAAGCCCCAGTACTGACAAAAAAAATTTTTTTTTAATGTTTTTAAGTCTACTTCTGGGATAGGGATGTGGTTCAGTAGTAGAGTGCTTAAGTGGTAGTTGTACAATCCTAGGTGAGATTTTTTTGGCCCACAGTACCCTCTGCCAAATCTGTTTCTAATGTATACCTTGCCTTTGTGTCCCCCCACCCCCACCCCGGCCCTTGGTAGGAGTGAGATAAATAGGACATAAATTGAGCTGCAGGTTTTTTTGTTGTTTTTGTTTGTTTTTTTGTTTGTTTTTTGGTCAGTCATGGGGCTTGAACTCTGGGCTTGGGTGCTGTCCCTGCACTCTTCAGTTCAAGGCGAGCACTCTACAGCTTGAGCCACAGTGCCACTTCCGGTTTTCTAGTGGCTTATTGGAGATAAGAGTCTCACGGATGTTCCTGTCCAGGCTGGCTTTGAACCGAGATCCTCAGATCTCAGCCTCCTGAGTAGCTAGGATTACAGGCGTGAGCTACCGGTGCCTGGCTAATGCAGGGGTTTTCTTATGAGGAACAGACACAGTTAACATTGGTCCTGGCTGCACTAAGAAAATAGCATCCAGCTTGTGGTATTCTCTAGATGTGGAAACAGGTTAACTGGTTCTGGGCTTTTAGTCTGGAAGGGGAAGCATACAGCCAGGGTACCTCCTTGTTCTTGCTTCTAGAAGAAATGTGCTAAGCTCTCTTTGTCTGTCTCATGCTTGCAGGCTGTGCACACAGGGATGCGGGCACTTATCTACAACAGCTCCACCATGGGCTCCCAGGCTGAGCAGTCAGGCATGAGGACCTACTACTTCAGTGCTGACACCCTGGAGGATATGAATGCATGGGTCAGGGCCATGAACCAGGCTGCACAGGTGCTGTCTCGATCATCACTGAAGAGGTCAGTCCTGGGGAGGGTCCCTGCCAGATCATTCCCTACTCTAGGTTGAAAGCCTCTGATGCCCTAACCCACCTATCTACGTCCTTTTTTTCACCAAATGAAAAGAAACAGTGAGATCTAGAGGGGTGAACTTCTTGCCCAGATTTCACAGCCACGGAATCTGGTATGTTTCTCAGTTTTTGTTTGTTTGTTTTCCATAAGTTTAGTAGAAGGGTCAAAGAAAATCTAAGTCACTTTTACAGAATGATCTCCTTGATTGGTACCCTTTTAAATATCCCTTTAAATTATTTTCGTGTGTGTGTGTGTGTGTGTGTGTGTGTGTGTGTGTGTGTGTGTGTGTGTGTGTGTGTGTGTGTGTGAGAGAGACACTGAAAATCATCTAGTATCCGTATATGTGGATCATGGTATTAGTCTGTTTTCTGTTGCTATAACGCTAGATAATTATATAAAGCAAAATGGTATATTTAACTAACAATTTTGGAAGTTGAAAGTGTAAATAGGATGGTGTTGAATCTGGCTAAAGCCATCTGGCTCATAGTAAGTGGCATGAAAGGGGAACATGTAAGATCATAGCCAGGCACTGGTGGCTCACACCTGAAATCCTAACTACTCAGGAGGCTGGGATCTGAGAATCCCAGTTCAAAGCCAGCCTGGGCAGGAAAGTCTGTGAGATTCTTATCTCCAATGAACCACTCCAAAAACCAGAAGTGGTGTTGTGGCTCAAATGGTAGAGCATTAGCCTTGAGTTCAGGGACAGCTCCCAGGCCATGAGTTCAAGAGTTCAAGCCCCATGACTGACAGAAAAAAAGACAGATCACAGTTAAACTGGAAGCCAAAGAGCTATTCAAGGTTCAAACTTGTTATTCTAAAACATCTTTTTTTTGTGTTGGTCAGTCGTGGGGCTTGAACTCTGGGCCTGGGCATGGTCTGTGAGCCACAGGGCCACTTTGGGTTTTTGGAGTAGGTTATTGGAGATAAGAGTCTCACATGGGCTAGGAAGGTGGCTCAGTGGTAGAGCGCTTGCCTTGCATGCATGAGGTCCTGGGTTCGATTCCTCAGCACCACATAAGCAGGAAAAAAAAGCCGGAAGTGGCGCTGTGGCTCAAGTGGTAGAGTACTAGCCTTGAGCTGAAGAGCTGAGGGACAGCGCCCAGGCCCAGAGTTCAGGCCCCACGACCAGACCTAGTGGGGGGGAAAAAAAAAAGAGTCTCACAGACTTTCCTGCTGGGCTGGCTTTCAACCTTGATCCTCAGATCTCAGCCTCCTGAGTAGCTAGGATTACAGGTGTGAGCCACCACCCCTGGCATACATCTTGCTCCTATACAACCCTCATTTTCTTTATTTTGATTCTTAAAAACAAATATTTGTTTTGTTTTGATTTTAACAAACTTCAGTTCCTTCTAGACTTTATCTTTTGACCATCTTTCATTATGGGTCTATTCCATAGTGGATTTATGCTTGGTTTTGTGTCCTACCTTCCATTACTTTCTTTAAAAATTTTTATTTTTATTTCTTTTAAAATTTTTATTGGCATACATTGTAAAAAGCAAACTGGTTTTTAGTACTTTGTCTTGTTTATTCCTCCATTGCCATCTTTTGTCCTCTAGTCCCCCCTCAGTCTGGTCCCCCTCTTTCTCTTCCCAAATAGCTACCTATTTTCATGTCTTCCCTCCACGTCTAAATCTAGATTCTGCACAAGAAAGAAAACATGAGATACTTGACTTTCTGAATGTGGCTTTTTTCACTTCACATGGTAATCTCCCATTGAGGATCATCTGTCCATTTCTTTCAAATGATATGTTTCTGTTCTCCTTCAGCTCAAGGCAAGTGCTTGAGCCACAGTGCCACTTCCTTTGTTCTTCTTCCTGGCTAAATAATACTTCATCATTATATTTGCCAATTATACACTCATCAGCTCACGTCCATATCTTCTATAGTCCTTAGATAGTTTTGTGCTGCAAGAATTTTCTTGTTATGACAGTGGAGATGGCAAGTGGGCTATTTTTTATGTACCATCTTTGTAAAATTCATTGTGGCTGACTAGGCTACTGGGTAAAGGAGAATTTGAGATTGATATTGGCCTTAATAAGAAAAAAGTTCTAATTGATAGATGATATTTGTCACCTATCGATTATAATACTTGTTAAGATTTGGATTTTTTCCTTTCTTTTATTTTTACCTGAAAAAAATTATTTTAGATTTTGATTTGGAAAAAAGATTATTCCTTTTAAAGTCTCAGGCCATTGAATTCTCTCTAAGCTTTCTCTGAAAATGTTGAAATTTATTACTGTTATGCTCTTAATGAACTTAAAAAAATGATTATGTTTGTCCCCAGTTACTTGCCTTAAAAACAAACATACAACCCATATTCTATCTTTGGAGTCAAAATAAAGATGTAATAGCATTTTTCCCTTCCTGAAAGATGAACTCGTCAGCTAAGCAAATAGAATCTTATGAACGTTTCCATTTTTCCAGAATAAGATGTTCAGACATTTGGTTAGTTAACATTATTTATGAGATTGGACTAAATTTTGCCTCTCCTCCAGTCTGGTGATGTGTTTTGGAAAATCGCCCTCACTGTAAGTGGTCACCTTTGCAGTGGCTGGTGTTTTCTCACACACTATTCATAAGCAGATGCTTTCTTTCTTTCTTTATGGCACTCATGATCACAGGTGACTGAACTATAATCAACGTTTCCTTAAAAGGGAAGAATATGTTGCTTTGTGTCACTGAAAAGTTTGGGATAGGCCTGGCTTTATAATAGCTGGATTCAGGACTCCAACATTGTCATTCTAAGTTCCTCTCAGGCTCACCTGTTTGCTGGATTCAGTCTTGAGCTCCCTGGTGAGGTCCCTAGTATGTCTGAGATCTGGTGATAAGATTGCTGCAGTAGTCCTGGACCTGTGCCATAGGTCTAAGGTCCAGCAAGAAATAAACCATAAATCAATGACAATTTTTAGAGTCATGGGAGAGGGCAAGGGAGAGTAACCATGGAAGGCCTCCATAAGAGGATACAAGAAAGTCAGATTGGCAAAACTGAGGAAAAGCATTCAGACCAAAATGGTGCATTAATAAGTTTAGATGGTGGTTTAGAAAGTGGTTGAATCACTCATGTGGAGAACTAGAGATCTGAGGATCCTTATTTGACCCTGGCAAAGTGAGACTACAGCTTGCAGCTCATACCAGTGTGATGGCTCACACCTGTAATAGCAGCTACTTGGGAGGCAGAAATTGAGAGGACTGTGGTGTCAAATCAAGGGAAAAAAGTTTACAAGACACCCATCTCAAACAATAAAAAGCTGAGCATGGTGGCATATGCCTGTTATCCAAGTATCCTGGAAACACAAGTACGAAGATTGCAGTTCAGGTTAGCCTGGGCATTATTGGGACTCTATTAGGAAAATAAGTAAAGCAGAAAGGACTGGGAGTATGGCTCAAATGGTACAGTACTTTCTTAACAAATATAATGCCCTGAGTTTTAACCCCAGTACCACCCAAAGAAAAAGTGAGTCAAAATGAGCAAGGGAAGAAGAGATCCTAAGTATGGATGATAATACAAGTCTATCTCATGAGGCACTAGGGTCCCTCTGCAATTGCAGCTCTCATCCTTACTAGGACTGCTCCAATGCATGCTTTAGGCCTTAGCTTATATCACAGAATTTCCTCCTCTGACTCTTAAGTATGTTGCCTATCCTTGCTGGTAGTACTTTCTTTCTTAATCATACATCTTCCATAATCATAATCCAATTCTCATTGGTTCCCTTACCAAACTTTCAGCTCCTTAAAAACAATAAACTCATTTATCAGTGCCTGGCATATAGTAAGTACTCAGTTCATAGTGTCTGGGTGCTTGGTTAGTTGAGCAGGTATGTGGATGAATGGATGGACAAAACAGCTGTGGAACCTTTACCTGTAAGATGCTGAAATAAAGATCTGAGATGGCTGAGACCAATCTGAACTCGTTGGGGATTTGTGTGTAGAAAATCAGCCTTCTTAGAAATGGCTCACACATGCTGGGGTATCTTTGGAGAATTAAATCTTTGGCATTCAGATTCTGATCACCTTGGGTAAGGTCATGGCTAGATAAACCCCTAAGGCTGGACAAGTCTCTTGGACCCCAGCAGAAGTTGTTGAATAGACACATTTTCAGTTCTGCAGGGCTTTGGAGTCATAGCAGACTGGGCTTGAGTCCTTGAGGTGTCACCAGTGCATGATCCAGGGCAAGTCGGTCAAGCTCTTTGAGTCTCACTTTCATTACTTGTAATGAAAGGATAATAGCACCCACAGCCTGGCAGGTTTGTGTGAGAGATATACAAAGAGGTAATAAAGTGCTTTGTGCATTTATTAAGTGCTCAGTCATTGGTGGCTGCTGCTGCTGCTGCCATGGTCCTCTCCTTCATTAGAGACAATTTATTGTAAGTGATAGGGCCCTCATACATAAATGTTCTCAGCCTCTCTGGATTTGACAGAGCTGACCTTGCAAGACTATAAAAGGGATTAGAGATAGTTTCTGTCAACTTCCAGATACACATAGAAGTCAGCATATGGTAACAATAACCAAGTATTGGTTATATCAAATGCCATCTGGTTTTTGTTTTTTTTTTGGTCTAGTTCTAATTTAATCTGATCCATGGAATTTATTTATTTGCCAGCACTAGGATTTGCACTCAAAAGTTTCACATATTCTCTCTCTGCTTCTAACTTTGCTGGTACTCTGGCACTTGAGTCACACCTCCAGCCTTCTTTTTGCTTGTTATTTTAGATATGGATTCTCCCAGACTTTTCTGCCTAGGCTGACTTTGAACCTTGATTAGGCTCCTGAGTATCTAGGATTATAGGATTATAGTTGTTAACTACTTTTACCCAGCTAAGGCCAGAACCTTTTACAAGGAGTATAGCTAGACTGGCCGCCCCATTTAAGAGTGTCTGGTAAAATTTCCAGCCCATCCAGGGCTGGAGTATGTTCCTCTGACTCCAGTAGGGCCACTATTGTGCCCCTAGTGCCAAGTGATGGGGATACAGATATAACTGAGCCTGCCCCAAGGCCAGGGAAGAGACATAGTGGAACACGAGCACTGAAAGAGGAAACTCCACTGTGTCTCCTCTAGTTTACAACCTGTGCTCTTGCATGAATTCCTTCTTTCCAGTTACCAGGTTTGCATGTGTACAGGCCCTGGCACACCATGGATTAGCAATAGGGATGGAGGCTCAAGCACAAGAACTCTGAAGTCTATCTGGGTTTAAGTCCTGGCACCACTCCTTCTGTATGGTCTTGTGAAGATGGTTGGTCTTCTCTGTAGCTCCAATCCCTTAACTCTAAAATCGGACTCTAATGTACTCACAAGATTCTTATTACTGAGTCCGTGTCATTGGGTTCCTGTTTGAGATGTTCTCTGATAAAATAGAAAAGTGATTTTATAGAATGGTGCCTATTCTTTAGTTACGATCTTTGAAGATTAAGCAGCTGATTGTACTTTGGACTGACTAGACACTAACTATTAAGATCCCAAGTTCAGTAGCCTCCTGTCCAAGTTGGGATGCTCTAGCAGACAGATGGAGAAATAGCAGACAGTACAGATAAGATGCACAGACATGAGTTTCATGAGATTGTCATGTGTCATTTATTCCCTCTTATTTTATTTTTTTGTTGTTGTTGTTGGTGGTGGTGGTGGTCGTGGGGCTTGAACTCTGGGCCTGAGTGCTTTCCCTGCGCTCTTTAGCTCAAGGCAAGCGCTGTACTGCTTAAGCCACAGTGCCACTTCCAGTTTTCTATGGTTTATTGGAGATTAGAGTCTCATGGACTTTCCTGCCTGGGCTGGCTTTGAATCATGATCCTCAGATCTCAGCTTCCTGAGTAGCGAGGATTACAGGTGTGAGCCACTGGTACCCGCCTCATTTATTCTTTATAGAGCATCCTTCACCATACTAGTCATTGTGCAAAATTTCTGGACCTACAGTGGTCTGCTGGGTGGGCCTGTGGTCTGAAGGAACCTCTAGTCTATTTGGGAGCTGGATGAGTAAACATATAGATATGGGTCGGTATAATTGGTCAGCCTACGGTCTTACTATACACTAATGTGTGGCATCTTGGAGGTGATAACAGTTAAGCTAGATTTCTTTTTTTTCCCAAATTTTTTATTGTGATCAAGTGGTTACATAATTTCCCAAATTTCACAGTATTGTGGGATAGTGATGCTTAGTTAAAGTGACAAACACATTCTAACTTTCATGGAGCTAGATTTCTAAAGGAATAGAAGATAGACAGGCAGGTGTGAGACTGTACGCAATGAGTGGTCCAGGCAGAGTGCAGAGGTGAGTATAAAGTGTGTTCATTAGGGATCTTGGCTGTGGAGTGGACTGCATGTATTGCTTGTTTTTGCAGGGAGGCCGAGAAAGTGGAGCGGCAGGCAGTGCCCCAGGCCAACCATACAGAGTCCTGTAGAGAATGTGGTCGTGTAGGACCCGGACACTCCAGAGACTGTTCTCATCGCAGCTATGATGACTCCTTCGGCTTTGAGAGGAGGGAGCAGGAAGAAGAGCGGTACCGTTCTCAGAGAGACCTGCTAGAAGGCAAACGGGACAGGAGCAAGGCCAGATCCCCATACTCGCCAACAGAGGAAGATGCCTTGTTTGTGGATTTACCTGGTGGCCCAAGAGGCCAGCATGCTCAGCCCCAGAGGATAGAGAAGAATGGTGTACTGCCTCCTTCCTATGGCCCAGGAGAGCAGAATGGGACTGGCGGGTACCAGCGGGCCTTTCCTCCCAGAGTCAACCCAGAGAAGCACAGCCAGAGGAAGACCAGCTTGGCCCAGGCAGAGCACTGGGCAAGGACCCAAAAGGGGGATGGCAGGAGGTCAGTGAGAGCATCAGTTTCTTGCTAATAATGGGCATAATAATGCAGTAAAAACAGCTATCATTCTCTCAGCACTTGCTGAATAAACGCCAGCCTTAAACCCTTTGCCTCTATTATCTCCATAAATGCCTATAACAGCCCTACCAGGAGGGATGATGGCTCTAGTTTTAAGTCAGAGAGATGGGGGCTTGGATAAGCAATTGAGGCAGCCTTTCCTTCATCCAGCTAGGTTGCAAGGCCAGAGTTCAAACCTGGTTCTGTGGGCCTCCAGAGCTCACAGAAATTATACCAGCAGTGTTTCTGCTCTCCAGAAAGGATGCCCTAAGACACTCAGCACAGAGATAGTAACTTATCTTCTTCTCTTACACAGTTACTTCTCTGGATCCAAGAAATATCTGTAGAAGCTAGAGTACAGACCCATGTTTTAATTCCAGGCACATATCAAAGTATATAGGTAATGTTCAGGCATCGTTGACCCTAGGCTTTATCAAATCTGTTTCTCCAAAATCAGTTTTTAGTTATTTAGAAGGGCATGTCTCTTGCTATTGTAAAGCCCGATCTATATTTTATTGTAATTTTAGATTAACTGGAACACAATTATGAACATGGAGAATTCAGGGTCATCTGCCTTCCCTGTTGTTCATAGAAGCTACTACGCTTTGTCATCATTATGAAGGCATTTCAGTTTCCCTCACCATCCTCTGCATTCTAAAACAAGTGTATGAAAAGGAGCAACTAGCAAAGCTATGCACTTAGGATCAACTGGAGTGGTAGTCATGACTGTGCCACAGCTCAGGCCATTTTGCCACCAGCCCGATAACATGTTCTGAAACACACACTTCCTTCTCCTTCTGGCAGAAAAATGCAGACAGTCTTGGCTTTGGAGGCTGAAGTGTTCCTCTTGGGAATAGTCTTAGTCTGTTTTCAGATGTGGATGTGCTGTGCAGGTGTGGGTTGTTGTGGCCCACTCATCTAGCCCATTTGTAAGGTTGGATGGTAGAGAAATCACCATGGAAATCCCCTAAGCCACTGGGAGACATGGCTGCAGAACAGACCAGAAAGAAAGGCCTTTTGTGTTGTAGCCAAGATACCTTCCCATTTACACTGGGAGTGGCCAGGTGTCAATTCTGTTTGTTCAAATTGTGTGTCTTACTAAAAACAGAAAACTACTGTCTCAGGACACAGGGGAGTGACACGATGGCTCTTGGTGCTAGGTTAGGAAGCCTCCTGGGTGGTTGTAAGATGTTGTACTGCTAAGGGAATACAAACTTGGTAGGTGGAGAACCTTGTAGACACTCATAGTCCATGGTAAGACATGTGAGTTTCACCTGAAAAAGTAATGAGAGACAGTGTAAGGTTTTAAGCTGGCAAATTATGTGGTTTGATTAATATTTCACGAAGAGCCTAAGAAGATGGCTATTATAATCATCCAGGATGATGACACTAGAAATAGAAATAAACAGAGTTAAGGTACATTTTGGAGGTTGAAATAGTGATGCTTGTCCATGTTCTAGATGTGTGGATGAATTGAAGGGGAGAGAGAGGAATGAGGATATTACTAGAATCTTGATGTGGGCAACTTGTGGCCACTGAGATGGGGAAGGCTTCTTTGTCTATTTTAGACATGTAAGTGAGGTTCACAGGTAGATTTGGAGTTTACATTCAGGTCTGGCTCAGTTAGTAAGTAGATGAGGTTTCTTGGATGAGATGTTAGCATAGCTGGGAGAGATGAGTTTCCTAAGAAGTGTGGGAATTGTGAGGTGTCCAGGAGGAAATGACCAGTAGATTATGGACTCTATGGGCTTAGGCCATAGAGAAATTTTAGTCATTGCCCTGGGATGGTAACGGATACCCTGGCAGTGGTAGTTTAACCAGACTGGATTGCTTAGAGCCATAGTTCTTAATCCTAATCGTAGCTATACAGTTTGATCGTTTAAGATCATAACCAAATGATTTGAACTTAATTAGCCTGGGGTGAGGTCGGGCATCAACATGTTTTAAAGGCTCTCCAGGTGATCCCACCAATCTGTGGCCACAGTTGAGAAACTACTGCTTTGTTACCTATTGGGATCACCCAGAGAAAGGTTTAGCATTGACTGAAGTCTCTGCCCCATGTTCAGGTGTCTCCTCTTGGTCTATGTTGTAGCTTACTCGTCAGGATTGTGTATGTTTGTATGTGTATACATATGTGTGCATGTGGTACTGGGGCTTGGACTCCGGTCCATGCTCTGTCCCTTAGCCTTTTCACTGAAGGCCAACACTCTACCACTGAAGCAATATCTCCACTTCCAGCCGGAAGTGGTTAATTAGGAATGAGCCTCATTGACTTTACCCAATCTGGCTTTGAACCTCAATCTTTTTTTTGGCCAATCCTGGGGCTTGAGCTCAGGGCCTGAGCACTGTCCCTGAGCTTCTTTTGCTCAAGGCTAGCACTCTACCACTTGAGCCACAGCGGCATTTATGGCATTTTCTGTTTATATGGTACCAAGGAATTGAACCCAGGGCTTTGTACATGCTAGGCAAGCACTCTACCACTAAGCCACATTCCCAACCTCTGAACCTTGGTCTTTAAATCTCAGCCTCCTGAGTAGCTAGTATTATAGGCATGAGCCACCAGGGCCTAGCAGAACATCAGGACTTTTAATAAACACATCTTCCCTTTGCCTCCTCTCCTATGATTCTCATGTGCAACAGGGTTGAGAATTCCTGGTTCAGAATGAGCAACAGCAGACCAAGGACAGAATCCTAGAAATCTCCAGTCCAAGAGCTTGGCAGAAGCAAAATATCCTTGGGAGAGATTGAGCAGGATATGGGGAGATGTAAGGAAAAATTGAATGTTCCTGTGGGAAAAGTTTCTGCTAAAAATGGAGTCGGCAGTGCAAGGTTCTGCAAACGAGGACTTTTCTCTCCCTGAATAGGGTACCTTTCAGGGCAGGCACCACTGAAGAAAACTCTGGAACCTCGAGGTCTCTACTGGTCCTTTCCTTGTGGTGGGAGGAGGCCTTTACTTTCATGGAGCATTTTGATTGAGGTAGAGTTTCCAGATTTTCAGGAGGCAGTCACAGGGAGGAAAAGAAGCCAGGGAGCTACATGGCTAGCTATAAACCTTTTGTGGCAGGAAGGGCTTTCTACAACAGAGCAGCTTTAGACAGTTGTAAATTGTTATTGTGAAATATCTCTATAAACCATTTCTGAGAGCTGGGAATGTGGCTTAGTGGTAGAGTGCTTACCTAGCATGCACGAAGCCTTGGGTTCTATTCCTCAGCATCACATAAACAGAAAAAGCCAGAAGTGGTACTGTGGCTCAAGTGGTAGAGTGCTAGCCTTAAGCACTAAGAGGCTCAGAGATGGTGCCCAGACCCTGAGCTCAAGCCTCAGGTTTGGGGGTGGAAGACATTTCTGAAAATCCACAAGCTACACACCATGACCTATACTGTGGGGAGAGGTGGAGTAATGCAGCAGGGAGGTGACAAAGTCATCAAAGGATTCAAGGTGGCCAAGAAGGCCCTGGACCTTCTATAGAATGGAAGGTAGGGTCTGGTGAGGTGGCTCATGATTGTAATCCTAGCTAGTGAGGAAGCTGAGATCTGAAGATCAATTCAAAGCTAGCCTGGGCAGCAAAGTCCAGTAGACTTTATCTCTATGCACAAAAAAGCCAGAAATGGAGCTGTGGTATAGTACTAGCTTTGAGGGGGGAAAAAAAGAAAAAAAAAGCTCAGGAATAGTGGTTAGGCACTGTCTTGAAAAGAGAGTGAATGTAAGGAGAGAGAGAAAGAATAAATGAACAAATATGGGGGGTGAGAGTTTAAATTATTCTTACCAGAGGGGCAGGGGACATCATGTCAAGCTTTGTGCATTATTGCAGACACTGGGGAATTTCAGTTTAATTGTGAAGTAGATCTGGAGTTCAAGTGAGGAACTGAAGGCAGAGTGTAGAGAAGAAAATGCTGTCAGTCATTTTGAAGAGATGCTAGTACTCAGTCTCTGATCTTTCACTTGATTCTTAAAAGGTCTGCATTTTGCATTCCCAATTTTTTTCTTGATATATTTGTGACTAGGTACCAGTGGCTCCTGCCTGTGATCCTAGCTACTCAGATACTGAGATCTGAAGATCTTGGTTTGAAGCCAGCCCAGGCAGCAAAAAGACTCTTATCTCTAAGTTCCAAGAAGCTGAAAGTGGAGCAGTGGCTCAAATGGTGACATGCTAGTGCCTCAGTGGTAGAGCGCTTGCCTTGCATGCCTGAGGCCCTGGGTTCGATTCCTCAGCACCACATAAGCAAAAAGAAAAAGCCGGAAGTGGCGCTGTGGCTCAAGTGGTAGAGTGCTAGCCTTGAGCTGAAGAGCTGAGGGACAGCGCCCAGGCCCAGAGTTCAGGCCCCATGACCAGACCCCCCCCCCCCCCCCAAAAAAAAGCAGCCAATAAAAAACAACAAAAAAACAAAACTTCAAAACAGCACCTAGGCTCTGAGTTCAAGCCCCAGAAGCTACACATACACAGATGTATTTGTAATTTCTTGTAATAGGTGATAAGATCAGGCTGCTTAATAAACCTTTATTTTCCATTTGAAAACATAGAAGATAAATATGTCTACCTTGTGTATAATTAAGATTGTGCCAATCTCATTATCATTAGACTGAGCACATTATGGTCTTGGAAGGAAGGCTATTTGAACTACAATATGATCCTGTATACTTGTCTTTAGCCTCTTCAGGGAATTATTTCTAACTAATCTTCCAGTACTTGGAAGTATATATTATATTTCATATTATTATACTCCTTTAGAGCTTGGTTTGGGGGGAGTCTGACATACCCTTAGAATTGGAGTACATTCTAAGAGCCTGCTTAGAAATTCTGGCCTTCTATTTTTAATCCCCTCTCCCCAGTATTTAAAAAGCAAAAGATTTATACGATCTGAAGAGAAACCAGAGTATTGCCCCCTAGTATTTAAAATAAAGCATCCTTGTAAAATAAAAAGTCAGGGGCAGAAGCGAGGCAGGGTACTCAAGCAATCAAATAAGGAACAGAAAGTCCTGTGTGACTGACGTTACAGTGAAGATTTCTTCCATATAAACAATCTGTTATAAAAACTGGTCTTACATTTTAATGTGACTAGGTTTAAACAGAATATCCTGTTGAGTGCCTTTTGGGACCAGAAGGCCCCATCACACAGCAGGGCATGAGGATAAGACGTATTGATCTCTTGGGGGAGTAAGGCTGGCTTTGGGAGCCAGCAAATAGCTCTGTTTTCAGGGCAGAGCTAGCTGCTCAGGGGCAGAGTTCTGTTTTCAAGGCAGAGCTCCCAACTTTTGCTGGGGGGACCTCTCAATGCTATCATGTCTCTGCTATCTGTTAGTTGCCATAGTTGGGGCTACTAGACACCAGGGCCTACTATTGTGCAGATATGTTAGGACCACCCCTAAATGGCAAAGTGTGACATTGTGCCAAGAGGCTAGATGAGGGTACTCTGACTGTCTAGGCATAGTACATGCCAAGAGTGGGCTGCAGAGCCAGATGGATGGGTTGGAGGGTAGGAGTACAGCCCAGACATGCTTTGCATACTTTACAGTTTGCATCAGGCAATATAAACAATGGCTGGTAAAGTTCCCATCTTTCAGGGGAAGCCCCTCCCATAGTTTCTGCCCCAGCCACCCACCACCTCTGAGCATTCAAGCACTGCCTGGGCTTCAGAGACGTGCCCATCTTACCTTGGAGAACCAAAGGCAAACACCGCCGCCTAGTGGCACATAGTAATAGTCACACTTGGCACACAGGACAGGTCTTGGTTGGAGGAATCTTGAAAATTCTCTCCTGTAATTTTTAGCTTCAAAGTAACCCTTAAAGGGAGAGGGGGGGGGAGCTGCTACCTATTAAATGGTTCTTAACCTCATTTTATAATAAGGAAAGCGAGACTCAGAGGGCAGAAATGACCCTGCCCTTAGGTCAGCCAGATAGAAGTGATTAAATGCACTTTTCAGACTTTTGAGAATGTCAGAATCACGTGGAGGTCTGTTTGAACACAAGTGGTTGGGCCCAGATATGCTGGTTCATAGGTCTGTGGTGGTACCTGCATTAAAAATATAGTTTAAAAGGAGGAGGCAATAATGCTTGATAAGAAATATACTCATTACCTTGCTCATGTAACTATAACCCCTCTGTACAGTATTTTCACAATAAAAAACTTATAAAAATATAGTTTATTTTAATTGAGGAGTAATAATCATAAAGATGGGATAAATGTTATGTTTATATATATATATATAGTAGAACGTTTAAACCAAGTTAATTAATACCCACTCTCATCTAATTATTGTGTGTGTTTTTAGTGAGAACACTTAAATCTTGTTCAAGCAATTTTGAAGTGTACAGTATATTATTAACTATCTTCATGTTGTGCAGTATTCTTCTAATCTTTCCAAAACTTAGCTCACTTTGGCCAACGTCACTTCCTTCCTCTCCAAATTGGTAACCAGAATTTTGCTCTTTGGTTCTGTAAGTTCTACCTTTTTTTAGATTTCACATATAAACCATGCAACACCTGCCTTTCTATACCTGACTTTATTTCCCTAGACTGGAATTTTTAACAAGTGTTGATGCTGCTGGCCCATGGACTACACTTTGAGTGGTGTTGGCAGAGAACAAAGTCTAGCACAGAGCAAGCACCATATAAAAGTTTGTAGTGTTTATCAGAATAAAAGCAGAATTTGAACTTAGGCTGTTTGTCACCAAAGGATGTTCTCTTTGTATAGAAGACTGTCAGGTTAGACTTTTAAGCGTAATAAAACTCTGTAATTTGTCCCTTGTGGATATTTCTCCTGTTTCAGAAAATTGTGTGGCTAGCTGGTGACTAGTTAGTAGTAGTTTTCAAAGCCACATTAAATTTTGGAGGGCTTGTTGGAGACCTGATTATATGTCAGGGCTTTCAGACTATGGATAATACTGTAGAGTATGAGGCACATTTCCAGTCCTTTTAAGAATTTTCAGCTTGGCTGGGGAAGAGATGTCTTCTAGGTCTGAGTTGTCACATCAGTACAGGGCCTTGGAAAAGCTGCAGACAGTGTGATAGCCAGATTAAACAGTGAGATCACAGGGATATAGTATGGTGGCAGGGCCCCCATGGGAACAGTGTGAGCTATTGTCCTAAAGGCTGAGTATGCTGTGGGTGATTGGAGTCAGGGGAGCCCATGGAGACAGGCAGTGGAGGGATGAGCACACTGCTGAGTGAAATGTGTGCCAGGTAAGGAAGATTTTGCATTTTCTCTTTCTGATCCCATTTACTTCTCAGAACAGTAGGTAGGGAAAAGGAGGTTCAGAGCAGTCAGTAATCAGCTGACAATCACACAGCCAGCCAGTGGCAGAGGGCAGATTCAAACCTATGTCAGACTACTACAAACATTTGCTTCGTCCACTGTGAAAAGTTGCTCCATTGGGGGAGGATGGCCTAGGAGGAGGGGGAGGCTCACTCAGGCACAGCAGGTAGGGGTGTACCTGGGAAGTGAGTATACTCTTCAGGTCTGGGCTCCATTCACCTGCCTTGCCCCAGCCTGGTCCAGGCCCTTGTAGGAGAGGCAGTGAGCAAACACCCTTGAGGTCAGGTGCAGGAATTTTGAAGACTTGCCTTGGGGTTTAGATTTTATTTCCTAACAGAAGGGAGACATGGAAGCTTTCAGGTAAGGGGAGCCGATGGATCAGAAGAGGTGATTGTGATTTACGGGCAGGATAGAAGCAGGTTAGGAAGGTCTCGATGTCGTCTAGGGGAGGTGACTGATCAGAATCTAAATCAAATAGTAGAAAACGGAAGCAACGGATGCCAGTTCTTCCTTTTAAGAACCTACCAGGTTGAGGGAAAATGTTGACAACCCAGCAGCCATTGTCATTGACCACTAACTAGCAAGAGGGAGCTAACACATAGAAGAGGCGGGCAAGAGACCCGCCCCCCTGTGGGCTTGGCAGGGGTTGACAGAGAAAACTAGTTTTGGAGTCTTCCTCAAAAAGATGTGACTGTAACCCTGGCTATCTCCTTTGACTATTACTTCTGGGTTTCCATAGGACCCCTTCTCTACCTCCCCCCCCCCCCCCACATGGCAGCGTGTGAGTGTGCCTAGCTGTGTTCCCTTGCTCGGTGTCCTAACCTGTCCTTCCCTTTCCTCTCAGCCTTCCTGCGGACCAGACGCTTCCTCGCCAGGGTCCCAGCCAGTCTCTGAACTTCCCAGAGCACTACCAGACCCTTCCCAGGAGCACACGACACCCCTCGGGGAGCTCCTCACCCCCTCCCCGGAACCTGCCGAGTGACTACAAGTATGCCCAGGACCGAGCTAGCCACCTGAAGATGTCCAGCGAGGAGCGCCGGGCACACCGCGACGGCACCGTGTGGCAGCTGTACGAGTGGCAGCAGCGGCAGCAGTTCCGGCACGGCAGTCCCACAGCGCCCGTCTGTGCCGGCTCCCCAGAGTCTACCGACCAGGGCCGGAGCCGAAGCATGCTGGAGGTGCCCCGCTCCATCTCTGTGCCCCCATCTCCCTCTGACCTCCCTCCCACGGCACCGCCAAGGGCCTTCCCGCCTCGGCGTCCGCACACCCCAGCGGAGAGGGTCACAGTGAAACCACCCGACCAGAGGAGAAGTGTGGACATCTCTCTGGGGGGTTCTCCCAGGAAGGCACGTGGCCACACCATCAAGGTGAGACCTGGGGACTTTTGCCAACACCCGCGATGTGGGCACCGATTTGAGCCATTGGGGCTAATCATGGTGACGAACACTCGTGCAATATTTTTAGGTGCCAGTGTTGTTCTAAAGGTTTTGATTGAATTCTTACTACAGCCCTATGATGTACATAATTAGATCTGGGTCACAGATGAGGACTCTGAAGCATTGAGACAGAAGCTTGCGTGCGTGATCATTCAACTAGAAGTCCACTTTCCCGAGGTTGGGCAGGAAAAGATGTCTGTGTTCACAGAGTTCAATTGTTTAGAACAACTCCATTTAAGTTTCTCTCCCAGGGGCCTTCATAGTTGTGGAAACTTTCTCTGTGCTGTAGAGTGAGGAGGGTGGACAGCCCACTTTACAGATGAATCTAAGGCTCCGTCCTAGACTCCTTGCCTCGCCCAGGTGTGATTTCTCTCCTCCCTTTCCCCACCAACAGAACTCATCTCACGTGGACCGGCGCTCCATGCCCTCCATGGGCTATATGACACACACTGTCAGTGCTCCCAGTTTACACGGCAAGTCGGTAAGCAGCCCCTTACCTCGCCTTCTGAGTGAATGACATGAAGCAACCTATATGAAGCAGCCCTGTCTCATTGGGCATGTTTCCTTCCTCTGAGCGAATGTTGGCTAAAGGACAGCTGTCAACCCCCGTTTTAGAGATGAGGATACACAAGTCCAGTGTCTTTCTTAGGCTCATGTAGCTAGACCTCCAAATATTGGGGGAAATAAAGGAGAATGTCGGGCTTATTCTTTTTGAATAGGACATTTTCCCCCTAGCAGGATATTCCAGCTACTCACTCTCCTATTTGCTCTTCTTTCTTCCCTGGTCTTCACTTTGATCAATTAACTTTGTCTTCAAATCTTGGGTCTGTGTGGGGTTGCACTGGCGGTTGCAGATTTTCTGCAAAATTGACTTCCTACTGCCCTATGCTACTAGTGCCTTTATTTGTTCTCATGACAGAATTAATGCCGTCACTGTTTAGTGGTATGGCACCAGGGCTGTGCTGACACTGGGGTGAGAAGTGTAATTGCAGGGGTGTGCCCTGTGGTGGCTAACTCCCTCCTGATGTTTCTACACCCCTGCAGCTGGAGGAGCTCTCGCTGCTTCTCACCCACTTGCGGCGGCACCAGGCCAAGTTGGCCAGCGTGCGAAATTTTGCTGTTGGCCAATTACTACAGCACCACCTGACCTTTCCCACCTGCCAGGTCAGCACTGGTGGGCTCTCCCAGGCTAGTGCTAGGGAATAGCCTGCTGGCCCCTGTCCCTTTGTGCCATGTTCTGTCTTTGCTGTCTGCCTTTCTCTCTTATTCCTTGTCTGTTTGCTTCTAGATGCTACCACCAGGCATTGTGTGGCAGTGGGGAGCCCCATCGTGTGGCAATGGGGAGCTGGCCCCTCTGGTGCTGGGGAGGGGCTGCATGTGTGGTGGGAGGGACCGGAAGTGTGGCTTCTTGGGCTGTATGTAGCGACTGCAAGGCTGGTATGTGGTCTTGTCAAAAGAGCTATGCTGCAATCAGCTGGGGGCACTCCTCAAGCTGAAAGGCATGTGGGTCAGTCTGAAGAGAGAATGCAGAGCGTGCTCTCTTTTTTGGACAGGGCCTGCGCACTCAAAAGCAGCTCACATCTCCTATCCTGCTGAGCACCACAGTAACCTAGGAGAGGGTGGCTAGTACAGGGTTATTGCCAACAAGGACAAGAGGATCCAGAAGGGGAAGTAACTTGTCCAGGATTCCTTGCCAGAAGTAGGCAGGCTGGAGCCAAAGTGCACATCCTGTATGGGACAGTGTTCTGAACTCCTGCCTGGAGTTGTACCCAGATAGGGAGAGATTCTGGCACAGACAGGAACAGATAAGGAGTATAGTAAGACTGTTACTTCATCCACTGTCCTGTGCCAGTGAGACCGAAGGGACTCAGGACATGCATTTAGAAAAATCATATGAGAATAGATGCAAAAAATAATGTGTAAGTTGTGAATCTGGGTGATTTTTTTAGTAATATTTTACAGCTTTTTCTTGCCTACTTCTACTAAAAGTAAATAAGGGCCTGGTGGATTGGGGAAGCAAGGATGGCTAAGGGGACAGTGTAGGTTCTGAAATAAAAGCTTGCAAGCCACAAGTGTGCTAGGCCTTCCCCTGAATAAGCACTGTGTTAATTTCTCACATGGTTTCATTCTATGACTACCTTGCACCTGAACTTATAAATGAGGACCATTTACCCAACCCTAGCTTGCTCAGCTCTGACGCCCTGGAAGTCTGCTCAAAAAATGGCATCAGACCATTCTTTTTTTTTTTTTTTTTTTGGTTAGTTGTGGGGCTTGAACTCTGGGGTGGGTGCTGTCCCTCAGCTCCTCAGCTCAAGGCTAGCATTCTACCACTTGAGCCATAGCACCACTTCTGGCTTTTTCTGTTTATGTGGTGCTGAGGTATCGAACCCAGGGTCTCATGCATGCAAGGCAAGCACTCTACCACTGAGCCACCTTCCCAGCCCCCAGACCATTCTTAAACTCTCATTCCTCTGCCTTACTCTTCACTTCTGTGCTCTGCTGCACAGGAGAGCATGAGTTCTGGAAAGTCTTTTTCAAATTTTCACATCCAGTAATTACTCTGATGATCTGGACAGACTGTCAGAAGCACCTCAAGCAGACAGCAACGCAGTGCTTAAGCACTGGCTCCATGCCTAGCCAAGAAGCATAAAACATTCAGGAAACTTCAGTAGCTGCTGTTCCTTATTGTCCTGGGTTCAAAGGTCACTGGGTCACTCAATTCATCTCCCTGCCTCTTCTGGGCATCCACCTGTAACCATTCTGGGTCATCTTACTTCATACATGTGAAGTGACCCAGTCCAAAGGTTTGGTGATGAGAACTGGAACGGTCATGATTAGTGGGATCCTAGCTCAGGTGTGGCATGTGCTCTTCCAGGTAGACATCCTGGTTCTGCCTCAAGCCCAGCATCCACCTCAGCTGCTCTGCTATGCTAGCCTGCTGGTAGTATCTCCCCCACCAAATGGCTAATGGAGGGACAAGCTAGCTTTCCCCTCAGTGACCAGCAGACGCTGCCATGTCAAGAGCAGGCTATGAGCCCTCTGTGCTTCCTCCGTGGCCCTGGATGTGTTGTTCTGCTGTGGTCCCTTGTGCACAAAGCTGTGCAGTGTAAATGAGTTACTTGTGAAGCTCCAAATTATGAAATTCTTGGCTCTTATAACTGTTGGTTTTGTTTCTTCCCTCCCTGTGCTCCCTTTGAAGGCTGATGATACCTACCTCCAGCTGAAGAAAGACCTAGAATACCTGGATCTTAAGGTAAGTGGCCTCAGGGTCCTGGCTTCCTTGGATACTCACCTTCTTGGATCTTGCTCAAGCCTAAAGTCAAAGGTCATCTAGTTTTACTAATCTGGATCTCATTTGAATCAGAAGAATTTTAGGTCGTAAACTCTGCAGTTGCTGTGAGTTCTGCTGTGGTGCCTCTGGCTTATAGAATGAGGGGAAGGTCTTTGATCTCTTCCTTCTCTTGGTTAAAACCAAAGGTCTCTAAAAATAACCATTTGCTTCTTCAAAGCCTCTGGTGGGGTCAAGGATGTGTGTTCATTTCAGAAGGTGTTACTGATGTGTATTTTCAGTCACAAGTGGCTCAGTGGATTCTTTTGTTTGGTCGCTGAGAGATCAAGTTCTACATGGGGTTATGTGGTTTTGAGGTTCAACTGGTAGCCCTCTCTTTTTCATTTAGAGGTAAACACTGGGCTCCTGTAGGGGGTAATGCTCTAGGCTCTGACTCAGCCTTCATAGCACAGAGAACCCAAGAAGGCTCCTGTGGAAGAGGCATTCTCTGAAAGAGAGCCACTATTGTGCCCTCCCACGGCTCTGAAAGCTCCCACTGTGAACAGCCCTCCTTATGCCTGCACCACGGAACAGACTGTAGGAATATGACCTTTAATCAGTCGAGGGTGGAGATGGCCTGTGTGGCTCCATGGGGGTATGCAAACCTCCAGCATACCTGGCTTGAGCTATTTTTAACACAGGGATCTTTATCCAGCCTGGCAGATCAGGGACATGAATGATAGGCAGGTAGCTTGGAGGGATTTCTCAAGCTGAGGCACCATCAAGTCTTGTGGTTGGAAATCAGCCAGTTCATTTAGATATCTATTGAGCCCTGTATGCCCAGCTCTGCTGGAAACAGGGGAAAATGCGAGAAGAATTGATGCACGCATGTCTGTGTGTGTGTGTGTGTGTGTGTAGCTTTGAAGAACCAGGGGTTTGGGGATGGTTGAGATTAAAGGGGAAGGAATGGAGGGAACCAAAGTGAGCCAGGGTATAGTAGGCTGGATAGGACCACAGGGGTATCCTGATGACTCAGATGCTATCCTAGGCCTTAGAAAGTGAGCATAAAGGGATTAGAGAAAGAGAAACTGAAGCACAGAATAGAGCTTCTGTATGTCCTTACTCTAACAGAAATACTATGTGTGCTAATCACTAGGTTTACTGTTCTTAAATTATTTAACTCTCACAGAAGCCCTATAAAGAAAGTGACAGTATCATCTTTGACTGAGGCTTAGAGAGGTAAATGGCCACACCAGTCATTCTGGGAGTAAGGCAGTGACATTTGGCTATAACTCTAAAACTTGTGCTATTAATAGCCTCTCTCAGAACATTGCTTCTACAGCTGTGGATTCAAAGCATTCAGCTTCAGTGGGAGCTAAGCTTAGGCATTCATATCAAGAAAATTATTTGATGGGATAGAGAGGCAAGCATGTAGGGGTGGGTGCTTTACTAGCTAGGAGCCATGTGTGAACTTTTGGTTTTCTGGATTTTGTCATTGTTTGTCGTGAAAGCAGCTGTGTCAATATAAAATTTTCTGTGGTCTTATAGCTGGTACTCCAGTTCCTAAACTCTTCTCAGAGAACCAGTTTCCACCAGCAACTGGGAGACCTGGGCTCACCAATAGCCCATGTGAGAGAAGATGTATGTATACACTGTGTATGAAACAGAGGACAGAGGCTGTGCTATTCTGCTCAGACCCAGATGGGAAATAGGGTTCCAACTTCAGGGAAGAGCTAAGTCATGGCCAAGGACCTGCACAACTTTAGCTGGTGTTTTCAGTGGGATGCTTTAGTTTTCAGTGTTCAAGTCTTAACCCAACCTGCTAAGCCCAAAGGAGATATTCCAATTCGCATGACCGAGAGCAGTGTCGCAGGGGATCCATGAGCCCATGCTATCACCCCTCTACTTCCCTTGCTGTGCTAACTTTCTTCCATCCTTCAAAACAAGCGCTGCCTTTACCTGCAAATCCAGGTCCACTTCCTGCCCAGCATCCCTGTGGAATAAGGGAAGAGTTCTGTACTGGGAAAGCATGTGGAATTAGGGAGAAACATACCAGCATCCAACACAGCTGAGTGCAGAGTGACTGGAGTTAAGGGTGCTCTAGGAGAGATGTGGACAGTCTGTAAAGCTCTGGTGCATTAACATGTGTTCTCTGTGGCCCTAAGGGAGAATTTTTAGATGGAGTATTAGTAGGAAAAATACTTTTCTGTAAAGGCTACCTCTTACAAACTCCCTGTCACTTGGGGTACAACTGAGGCTGTGTGAGACTGACTAGCATGAGTGGTTGGATTAGGAAAACTCCAAGGCCCATTGGTCCTTTGATTCTGTAACATGCTAAACAAATATCCCTACAGGACGAGACACAAACGAATGGGCTCTGAAGACTACCCTAGGCATAGAAATAGACACAAGTGTGGTTTATCTGGGACTAGCTTTGTGTGAGAAGTTTCTCCTGGGTCCTTGAGGAGCAAGGGAAAGAGATAAGCCTCTCTGGAAAAGGAGAGTCTCCCTGTTTGACATCTGCTGATCCCCTCTCCCCACCATGTTGGCTTAGGGGCCTCCATGGCGCTGGTCATGGAACCAGGATCCGTCTTCCCTCTGATCAGCTAACGTGTAGCTTCCAGTTACAGGTATTTGCTTCCTCATTAGAGCTTTCCTGCTAGGGGATCAAGTGGTCAAACAAGAGCTCTTTTTCAGAAGGCATGCTATAGTAAAATAGTTGGGAGAAGACCTGCTTTTCTGCCATTTTACTTGGTGGTGCCAGTGTGAAAAGGGGTCTACATTGATCATCTGTTTCTGCCTGTTAGTGTTCATGTGCTTGATGATCATTAATATGTTTAATCTCAGCAACCTTGAGCAATAGGAATTATTATCGCTTTCGTACCAGGGAGGAATTCAGTTTTTCATTTCCACACGTTTATAATATTTTTGAATCTTATACCCTCTTTTTTTTTTTCTGGTCCTGGGCTCTCTCTCTGAGCCTCTCTGTGCTCAGGGCTAGCATTCTGCCACTTTCAGCCTTTTCTCTTTATGTGGTAAAGAGGAATCAAACCCAGGGCTTCATGCATGCTAGGCAACCACTAAACCACATTTTTACCCCCTCTTATTTGTCCCCTTTCTCTCTTGTCAACAGGTTTTATTGTTTTTATAAATGAAAACAACTTACCTGCCTTCTCTTTTCCATGTACCACATGCTTTGCTAACCTAGAGTTGTTGTCTTAGAGTTGTATTTCGGACATGGAAGATTTTCTCTTCATAATCTTGAACCCTAGTTGGCTCAAAAGAGTGGTTTGAGTTCGTGGAGGGATCACTGTAGTTAACAATTTAATTTTTATTTTTTTTACTGATTGTGGGGCTTGAACTCTGGGCCTGAGAGCCTTCCCTGAGCTCTTTTGCACAAGGCTAGTGCTCTACCACTTTGAGCCACACCACCACTTCTGGTTTTCTGGTGGTTACTTGGAAATAAGAGTCTCACGGACTTTCCTTCCCCAGGCTGGCTTTGAACAGTGACCCTCAGAGCATAGCCTTCTAAGTAGCCGCCAGTGCCCAGCAGTAACTTAATTTTTTAAAATCTACGTTTCACTTTGATTTGCACATTCTTTTGAGACAGTCTCACTATGTTACCCAGGCTAACCTCAACATGCTCAAGTGATCCTTCTCCTCAACCTTACTAAGTAGCAGATGCCTACTGTGCCAGCTCTGAGTTGTTTTTATGAAGCTGTGAAGCAGTGGGGAAGGTGATGTGGGGGAGGACACGTGCCATTGCTCAGGTAGTGACTTTGTAGATGGGGAAGGTTGTGGTCAACCCTCGAGAGATCTTTTGTGCCATTGGTAGTTTCACATCTTTGAGCCTCAGAACAGGGCTTGTCTGACTTCAGATTCTGGTTCTGGAGCAGAGATTAAGTTCTTATTTGGGACATTGTTTATTTCTGGAATGTTAGGGGGCTTGATTTTAAAGATATAAATCTGAACCAGGTGTACATATTTACTGTGGTACCAGCTACTTGGGAGACTGAGCCAGGAGGATCGTTTGAGCTTGTGAATTCAAAGTCAGCCTGAGCAATATACTGTGCAATATACTGCTACAATAGCAGTGGCTCTTGAGGGCTGGCCACACGCCAGTCTTTCCTAATGGCTCACATTTGGCCCATGTCCATTATTTTTATTTCCTATGTATCTTCTATCATCAGGGAAAAAAAATCTAAAATTACCCTAGTAACTCTCACCCTTGCAGTGTAAATAGAAACTGTGGCTATGAAGGCTTATTAATTCTGAAATCATGTGACATTATACATCAGAAGGAAGAGGACTCTGTCTCTCAGGGAATGGAAGGGAAAGAAACAGGAGGGGAGGGGAAGGGAAGGAAGGGGATATCAGATCTGTAGGGCAGTTTTGAGTCAGAGCCTTTAGTTCTCAGAATTCATCATTTTAAAAATAAGCTCGGGGGGCTGGGAAGGTGGCTCAGTGGTAGAGCGCTTGCCTTGCATGCTCGAGGCCCTGGGTTCGATTCCTCAGCACCACATAAGCAAAAAGAAAAAAGCTGGAAGTGGCGCTGTGGCTCAAGTGGTAGAGCACTAGCCTTGAGCTAAAGAGCTGAGGGACAGCGCCCAGGCCCAGAGTTTAGGCCCCACGACCGGACCCAAAAAAAAAAAAAAAAAAAAAATTCATCATTTTAAAAATAAGCTCGGATATGACTCCTATGTACACTAAAGTTTGAGGCCTGTGGTACTGCAGCAGAAATTGTTAACCCTGACTATGAACTAGAACTACTAGGAATCTTCTAGAATAAATATTCATATTTGGTTCCTATCCCTTAGAGACTGTGGTTTTACTTTTCAAGAAAATCAAAAGGAAAGACTGTCTTAGGTATTTTTAGCATGTAGAATAACCAGATTTCTTCTAAGTGGTGATTCTCAAAGTGTGATTCCTCAGATGGGCAGTATGAGCAATACTCAAGAATCTGTTAGCAATGTAAAATTGTGGGT